AAAACACTCATGGTTAGCAAAAAGTTTATAGAAATTGAAACAAATGCAATAAAATGCAAAGCATTATCACAGTAGAGGAAAATAAAGACATGACCTCACCACCTCCACTATGTCTGAGATTTCTGTGCCATGCATTGAAAAAACATTCCCTTTGTCAATCTTGCACAGTTTAGTAGCCTATGTGTATTACTCTAGATATCAATTGACAGACTGATAATTATAGGGAAGATTTCAACAAGATGCTTATTATTTCCATGGGAATGTATCAATTTCTGCAGCATCTTGGAATATTCTATGGACAATGGACTTTGGTTGCAATCCTCTTGCTTCAGGTTGCATGAAGAAGGCATGCTTTCCAAGGAACAGCCTATTACAAACAAAATCTATTTAAAGGTATTGAATTAAATGCAGCATTGCCATTATAGGGAGAAAGAAACCAAGTTCTTTTGCTCCTTTTGTTGGGAAATGGCTTGTATAAAGCCATATTGATGTTGATGAAGTACCTCTTTTCATATTATGTTTCTATCAGTGCCTATTTGTAGATTTCTTAAAGGTAAGGCCATTCTCCTGCAGACAACCTTAGTCTAGAAATTGCTCAGGCCTTGTTGGTTACATTGGATTCCATGCATTGCAGTATCCACAGACTGTGGTTCTTTCTGCATTTTGATCCTAAGTTAAGACTGTTCCTTTCCCTGAATTTACAGAATGCATTGGCTTTGATCAACCCTTGACTGAAATAGGAAAACACGCATGGTTTGAAAAAAAAGTCTATAAGAATTGAAATAAACATGATACCTTGTTCAGTGATATTACAATGGATGAAGATCTTTTCCAAGGAACAGCTTATTCTAAACAAAATCTAGTTAAAGCCTTTGAATTCAATGTTGCATTGCCATTAAAAGGAGAATGAAGCAGAGGAGTTTTGCCCCTTTTGTTGGGAAATGACTGGTATAAAGACATATTGATGTTGATGAAGAGCCTCTTTTCAATTTGTGTAGATGTCTTAAAGGTAAAGCCATTTGCATATGGACAATCTCAGTCTAGCAAGAACAGCACTTGCTCAGGCCTTGTTCAATTTCATTGGATTCCATGCATTGCAGTAGCCACAGAGTGTGGTTCTTTTTGCATTTTGATCCTAAGTTAAGACTGTTCCTTTCCCTGAATTTGCAAAATACATTGGCTTTGATCAACCCTTGAGTGAAATAGGAAAACACACATGGTTTGATAAAAAGTCTATAGGAATTGAAATAAATGTAACACCTTGCTCAGTGATATTACAATGGATGAAGATAAAGACATGCCCTCAACACCTGCACCCTGTCCAAGTTTTCTGTGCCATTGTGTTGAAGGAAACATTCCCTGTGTCAATCTTGCATAATTTAGTAGCCTAAGTATTTTCCACTGGATGTCAATAGGCACCCCTTCAATAATTAAAAAAAGGTTTCATAAAGATGTGTATTAGTTCTTTGGGAAGATATCTATTTATTCAGTACCTTGAAATATTCCTTGGGAAAGGGACTTCAGCTGCAATCTCCTTGCTTCAGGTTGCATGAAGAAGAAATTCTTTCCAAGGGACGGCCTATTCCAAACAAAATCTAGTAAAAGCCATTGAATTCAATGCTACATTGCCATTAAAGGGAGAAAGAAGCAGAAGACTTTTGTCCCTTTTGTTGGGATATGGCTGTTATAAAGCCATATTGTTGTTGGGAACATGCCTCTTATCATACTGTGTGTCTATCAGTGCCTATTTGTAGATGTCTCAAAGGTATAACCATTCTTTTATGGATATCCTTATTCTAGAAAGAACAGTAATTGCTCAGGCCTTATTCAGATTCATTGGATTCCATGCATTGCAGTAGCCACAGACTGTGGTTCTTTCTCCATTTTGAGTCTGAATTAAGACTTTTCTTTCCCTGAATTTGCAAAATGCATTTCATTTGGTCAACCCTTGACTGAAATAAGAAAACACACATGGTTGAAAAAAATCTATAGGAAGAGAAATAAACATGATAAATTGCCCTGTAATATCACAATGGAGGAAAATGAAGACATGCCCTCAGCAACTGTAATATGTCCAGGATTTCTGTTCCATTGGGTTGAAGAAAACTTTCCCTGTGTCAATTTTGCACATTTTAGTAGCCTATGTGTCTTACACTGGATGTCAATGGGCGGACCTTGAATGATTAAAGGAAAGATTTCAAGAAGACACCTATTAGTTCTATGAGAAGGTATCAATTTCTACAGTATCTTGGAATATTCTATGGGCAATGGACTTTGGCTGCAACATCCTTGCTTCAGGTTGCATGAAGAAGGCATTCTTTCTAAGTAACAGTATGTTCTAAACAAAATCTATTTAAAGTCATTGAATTCAATGCAGCATTGCCATTAAAGGGAGAAGGAAGTAGAGGACTTTTGTCCCTTTTGTTGGGAAATGACTGGCATAAAGCCATATTGATGTTGATGAAGAGCCTCTTTTCATTTTGTGTATCTCTTCCAAGAAATTTTTTTGGACTCGTGAGTATTTTACATTTTTTTTTTTGAAGTAGAAGGAGTTGTTTTGATGTCACTTTCTTCTGAGTTTGAACTCACGTCTTCTGTAGCTATCAATGTTTTGGTTCTTTCTCTGTTGCTTGCTCTTTTTTTTGTTTTAGTAGCTAATTTCTTGGCTATCAATTTTATGTTAGAGTTAGGCTCTAGTCCTGAGGTATGGAAGATAATGTCTCAAAGTTCAGATTTTTCATGCTGTTATTTTCTGAGTTCTATCTAGGGGACTGATCTCAGGTACTCCTTTATACCCCTGAGCCACAATTAGGGCTCTCAGCAATGTTGCCACCATAAATGCTCTTACTCCCTGTGGTCCCTTCTATGCCTGCAAGCTTCAGCTTACCCTTCTGCCCTAAAACCAAATCAGGGAGTCTGCTTTCTTGCGAGTGCTCACAGAGAGCAGGGCCACTGTTGCCCCTTCTCCCTCCTCCTCACTTATAGCCATAGCTTGGGACCACATTTTGTCAACCCCATGTCCATTGCCCTTGGAGGACCCTGCAATCTTCCCCTGATCATTTGTCTGACCCCCCACACTGTCCATGGGGTAAAAATGCATGAAGTTGAGACTGGTTCCTTACACAGCTATCCCCAGGGCTTATTTGTTGATTCAGTAGTATCTAGAGGAATCTGAACTTTAATCAGGGCAAACAACCACCCAGTAGGTTAGGTCTTTCCTAATATTCTCCCAAGTTATTTTAGGCTGTACAACTGCTTTACAGTAACTTTTAATTATCTCTGTCACTTAAAGTTCATGTTGAGGCATTATTTTAAATTATTGGTGGGGGAATTTGGGAGAGCCAGGTAATTTTCTGCCTTATTCTGCCATCTTCCCAGAATCCTCTGAGGCAGATATATTTTTAAATGCTTTATTAAGCACTGAAGGAAGTGAAGTCAAAAGAAGACAAACAAACAAACTTACAGAATATAAATCTATCAAGTTACAGAATACAGAAATGTAATCTGAAAAAAAATACCTAATTTAGCCTCACAGACTGGCACAATGTCTTGCTTATATCTGCTATCATTTATGCCCATCTTTGCCACATTCTCTGCTATACTTATGCCCTCAAAGTCCAATGCTGCACATATTTTATTCAATTGCTGATTGACCAGACTTCTATCTCCTCATGATATTCAAAACATGACCTTTTCTTTGAGACCTACTATATTTCTGTGAGATTGTTTCCAACTTCGTTTGGTCTACTACTTTGGCTAGCCTCTACCCACTCTGGAGAGTTATAACTCAAGTCCATCTCCTCCTCTTCAATAAAAAAGTAACATCCACATATAATTTCCATCAACTGTGAGAAATGGAGCATCTTAGCAAGCTCAAGGGTCATGTCTAAGGCAATAATGATAAAATTAAAGGAAAAAAATCAAAACAAATGAGAAAAATCTTTATCTTTCATAATATGTCTGTTTTTGTATGTTTTAAATTATATAACAATTTGTAATCTAAATTATTAGACCAGTAATCCTGGCTTTATGGTGTTACTCATTGATGGTATTTATATACTTAATGGTTAATCTGTGACATTTATTTTTTTGTTTGGTCTTGTTTTTGTTCTCTTATGGGAGGCAATGGGGGTTTATGATTCACCCATAGTCACGCAGCCAGTGAGAGTTATGTGTCTGAGGCCAGATTTGAATGCAGGTCCTCCTGACTCCAAGCCTGGTGCTCTATCCACTGAGCCACCTAGCTGCCCCCATCTGTGACATTTAACTGAAATATTTACATGTAAATTGAACTTGTTGATATAGTTATTATAATTCCTTTTAAAATAAACATGATTTATTGGTTGACATTTTTCTATATTATTATATATTGCATTCCATTTCCTTTGAGTTCTTCTAAAACTGAAGTATATCTGTACTAGATTGTACACGCTCATTTGTCATAGGCTCTGAACCCCACTTTGGGATTGCCCTAAACCAGGGGTGGGGAAACCTGCAGCCTCGAGGCCACATGTGGCCCTCTAGGTCCTCAGGTGAAACTCTTTGACTGAATGCAAATTTCACAAGGATTCAGTCAAAGGGCCACAGTTGAGGACCTAGAGAGCCACATGTGGCCTCAAGGGTGCAGGTTCCCCACCCCTGACTTAAACAGACCTTTTATCCTGCCTGGTCATTAATTTGATGTTGATAAAATATGTTTAAATAAATGCATTTAAATCTAATAATTTTTATTATTCTATGATTCATAAATTAGCAAAGTACTGTATTTAGAAAAGACCTCTTTAAAAAAAATAAGCATTTACCTTGACAAATACATATTTTTGGTTCAGTAAGAATGAAAAAGAAAAAAAAAAGAAATAATGTTAATTTAGAGGAGGACTTTGTGATTTTTCCAGCTTCATTTCAGGGATAATCAACAGCCTGCATTTGTGAAGAAATGTCAATATTTGGAGGCCTCTTTAAAGAAGGGGGATATAGTCTCCCAAGTTCATCTTTTTCTTTTAATAGTCTTCAACATCACCAGCACAGATGGCAAGCAAAGCTTTCTTGTAATGTCCTGAAGCAAAATCCTGAAATGCAAAGCATAATGTTTATGGGAGAAAAATGTGGCAATATTCCAAAAAGCATTATTCCTTTATTTTTCAAAGGTAAGGCCAGGAAAGTTTGAAGTATTCTGCAGTTCTCTACAAAAATCTTAAATAATGTAAAGTAGCCACAGTGGAAATTACCATGAAGATAAAGTGAAGTCACAAATGTATTGCTTTTGTAAGAACTTGGATGAAGTGATAAATCTCGAAGTAAATGACAAATTAGAGCACAAAACCATCTTCTCTCCCTCTCCAAGCCCACAGCTCTCTGTGTTACAATGATTGCAATACTTGGGCCAGAAAAGTAGTTCTGAATGCAACTAAAATCCCTCCATTCCCCAATATTGGTTCATAAATACAATTATGAAAATTCCACAGTAAAAAGCTGTTATAAGAATATTCTCTCTCTTGAATGAATGCCGTCACAGCTGACTATTTCTCTAGATGCACAGAATATAGCATGTTAACTGTATGTAAGTATTAAGGCACACTAATAGGTTGCTGGATTACAGTGAGTGACTCAGAACTGGTTTCATTCACCAAGGAAATATTCCAGGATACTTATTTCTTAACAGGAAAGTCAACATAATAACTGATATTCAGTTCAATTTAATAAACATTTATTAAGTGCCTACCAGGCTAATTTCTGGGCTTACCAAGACAAAGTAAAACTGTACTTCAAGAAGTTTGTATTTTAGTGAGGGAGGGAAGAACAACATATATACAGAGAAGTGTGTATGTGTGTGTGTGTACATATGTATGAGTATGTGTATGTGTGTACGTATATATATATATACATACACACATATATACATCATGAATTAATTAATTATAGGAAGTTGGAGGAGGGAATAACAATTGGGGGAATTAACAAAGGCCTTTTATAGATGCTAGCATTTGACCTGAGGCTTGGTACCTAAGCTTGAGGTGAGGAGAGAGAACATTTCAGGTATGGTGGCCACAATGTGTACAAAGACACAGAGATTAGAGAGAGAAGGCCTTGTACTGAGAACATTTAGTAGGCCCATGTAAAAAAAAAAAAAAAGGTACATGTGTGGGTATAGTGTTGTGGGTTTGTTTTTTTTACCAGAAGATAAGATTTTTTTTTTTTTGGTAAGGTAATGGGATTAAGTGACTTGCTAGTCACACAGCTACTAAGTCACACAGCTAGTAAGTGTCAAGTGTCTGAGGCTGGATTTGAACTCAGGTCCTCCTGACTCCAAGACCCGAGCTCTATCTACTGCACCACCTACCTGCACCCAGAAGATAAGATTTTTAAGAAAATATCTAGTTTTACAACAAACCAGACAAGATGGAATATTTTATTTGTAAATACTCAGATTCAAATATAAAACAGTCTAATAATTCAATTGTTTATTAAATGCCCACTGTGTATAGGGTACTGTGCTAGGGTTAAAGATGTGAAAACAAAACAAACAATATTCTCTGTCCTTGGGGAGCTTACAGTCTACTATGGGGAATATACAGTATCTACAAAGATACGTAAATGTAAGATAATTTTGGGAACAAGGGAGTAGCAAAAACTAAATGTCATATCATAGATTGAGAACTGGAAGGACTTTGGACTACAGCTAATCCCATTACTTCTTCTTACAGATGAAAAAAAAATGAGGCCTAAGAAGACTAAGTGACTTGCCTACTTTCAGAGAGGTAGTTAGTTTGGGGCAAAACTGAGATTTGAATTAAGGTCCTGGGATTCTAAATCCATCACTCTTTCTCTGTACCATGCCTCTTCCTCCTCCTTAGGAAAGACTTTAAAGAAAAGGCGGTAACTGAGTTGGGAAATGTGGACAAGTTTTAGGTGGGGAAGATGAGTTCCATTTTGGACATATTCAATTTGAGATATCTTATTAAAACCTATCAGAAATTTGACTAAACCACAAAGTCTAGTAAAAAGCCATGAGACTTACTTTGATATCATGAAACAAAGATTTTCCATATCTTTCTTTGTATCTTTTCTGTATATTCATCAGGTCTATTTCACTTCTAGCAATTAGAATCCTGATAATGGTTTTGTTGTGGAAACCGAATTCCTAAAAGAAAAGAAAGGAGAAAATGAGAAAGCCTAAGGTTCCCCTCCACCACCATGGATTTGACTGAAAAAAAAAAATCTCATGTTAAAATGTGGGCCTTGGAAACCTCCCCTTGTGATGGAAGAGACAGAAGTTTTTGTTTTATTTTTGTTTTGAAAGATAAATAATACTTGAGGAAAGAAAAGAAGCAAAAATAAAGACACTTCAAGAAAGAAGGAGAGAAATGGAGGTAGAGTTGAAGGAAAAGTTTCTTGCAAATTAGCAAATCTTAGTTAACAGGGATTAACAACGAAAGCTCCTAGTTGATTTTGCGAAGACCATTGAAAGAATCTGGTGGGAAGAGATTTTAGTCAAGGCTAACCTTGGTGAAATTAACCTCAAATATCCAGGACAAAAGAGATAGGGTAGTATTGTGGATATCTGAGAGCCGGCCTTGAAGCCAAGAACACAGCTCCCAGGTAGGTTTATATTCCACCTTTCAAATACTATGTGACACCACCACCTTGACCCCTATCCCTCAGTGTTCTAGGCAACACTTAAAAACATTGAGTTGTAGAGAAGATAACAACCTGCATTGATATAGGAGGCTCTTCACCAAAACCCAGCAACAGCCATGAAGTCCCAGCTCCAGTCCCTATCCCTATCCTTATATGGTATAAAAAGGCCAGAATAGCCCAATTCAAACCGGTTTCCGGTTTTTAACATAGAGGGGCAATACTGACATCTTGTGGCCAAAGTGACTAATCTCAATTTGGGGGGAGGGCTGAAAATTCTAATAAAGTTTTTACTAATCAATTGCGCGTCTTTTAGGAAGATGAAGGAAAGCCCATTTTCTAAACTTTTTCATTTAGAGTCCCACATCAGCTGTTGAAATTTACTGGCAGATTTTCTTTAATCCCATGGCAATATGTATTATTTCAAAAATGTTTCTACTTTTCAACTTAGTGCAAGAAGCATTTTTTACTAAGCACCTATTATATGCCAGGCCCTGTGCTAGATGCAGAAGATACTGAGACAAAAATGAAATAAATTAAATAACCCCTGCCTTTAAAGAGCTTTAATTCAGTTGAGTTTAGTTATTCAAGTTAGGCATTTATTCTGTCTTTTATGCCAAAATACCGGTATAAGGCACTTTCCTCATCTGGACTCAACTGAAAACTCATCTTTTCTTTCCTCTCTTTAACTCTACCCTCTTTTCTTCCCTCTCCCTCTCTCTCTTCTGTCTGTTTCTGTTTTTCTCTCTCACTGTTTCCTCTTTATCCTACTCCTCACTCTATCTTTCTTCTCTTTCTGCCTCTCTTTCTTCTCTGTTTCTGCTGGTTTTTCACTTTCTCTATTCTCTCTTTATTCCTTTGGTGTCTCTCTCTGTCTCTCCTTTTCTTCTTTGTCTCTCTCTTTTTCTTTCTCCTTTCTCTTACTCTCACCATCTCTCTTTTCTCTGTTTCTCTAACTTTCTATCTCTCTTTCTCTGTATTCTTTACCTCTCTCATTCTGTCTCTCCATCTCTGTCTTTCTCTGTTTCTCTGTCTGTCTGTCTCTTCTCTCTCATTCTCTGTCCCTCACTTTTTCTATCTCTCTGTGCCTCTCCATCTCTGTCAATGTATTTCTCTCTATTGCTCTCTCTCTTTCATCAGATCTTGAGATTTCAACAGTGTATAGCATTCTCAGGGATGAAAATCCCTGCACCAATGCAGATCAGTGAATTGCTTGTAGCTTATAATGTGGAACTGGGGGGCTAGGTGACTTACTCATAGTCCCACAGCTAATTAGTGTCATAAGTATGACTTGAACCTATGTCTTCCTGACTCCAACGCCAATGCTCCACCCTCTTTCTATATCATTCGGTCTCAGCACACATTCATCCAGATTCACAAGCACTCACATATTTAGAAGCATACACTGCTTCTTAGGGTGGCCCACCATGCAGGACTGCAGCCTATTTAACTACCAAAATAGGCATGGCTGGGATTGGGGAACACCAACAAGTGAAGTTTTCTCCAGCTGCAGTGACTTGTTCTGTGACAAGATCATGAGAATGGTCATAGTATTCCCTACCCAATCATCATTTACTGGGTTCTAAATCCAAAGTAAGTAGATTTTGTCTTGTGAAGGCACTGAGACTTTAGGTTTAAAACTTGGAGACAGAGGGAACAAATACCTACTATTTACTAGGCACTGGGCTGAGTGCTTTACAAATATTATCTCAATTGATCCTTATCACAACCCTGGGAAGTAGATCCTATTATTTTATAGATGAATAAACTGAGGCAGGCAGAGGTTAAATAGCTTGCCCAGGGTCACACAGTTAGCAAGGGTCTGAGGTTGGACTTGAACTCTGGTTTTCCTGACTCCAGGACTAAAACTTTATCCACTGGGCCACTGTCTAGAGGCAGTGTACTATAGGGAAAAGAGCATCAGATTTAGAGTAAGGAGTCTGGTTCAAATCCTGTACTTACAATTATTAGCTGTGTTACCTTGAGTAAGTTCTCTAATAGTAAGTTCTCTCACATTTTAAAATTAAGGGTTGGAATACTTATATTAGCTATGTGCCTGACAGCTCTTGTGGGGAAAGCATATTTTACACATTTAAATCACTTTGTAAACCTTAAGGAACATAATAAATTTGAGTTATTATTATTGTTGTGACTTATCCAAGATCACACAGGTAGTATCTGTCAAAGATAGAATTTGAATTCAGGTCTTTCTGGCCAGCTGTCTACCTACAAGTACCTGTCTAGCTTGGTACATAAAGCACTGGACTTGAAATGAAGAGGATCTAAGTTCAAATAACACCTCAGATACTCATTAGATCTGTGACCCTGTGCAAGTTACTTAAACTCTTTCTGCCTCAGATTCATCATCTATAAAAAAAGAGATAATAATAACACTTACCTCACAGGGCCACTGTGAGGATAAAATGAGATAACATTTCTAAGGTGGTTTGTAGAACTTAAAATGCTATATAAATGTTACTATTATTATTACTGTTTTGAAATGCTGCCTTTAACCCTCATAATTTCAATTATAGCACAAATATGAGCCTATTTCAATTCTTTATTTGGGTGAAGGGAAGCATCTATTCTAGTGGGTGAATAATAATTTTTATGGCCCTTTAAGATTTATAAAATGCTTTTCCTATATCATCATGCTAGCATTTATATAGAACCTCAAGGTTTGCAGAGCACATTATAGATGTTTTTTCATTTTAACCTCATATCAGCTCTGGGAGGGAGGTATTATTCTTCTCCCAGATGAAGAAAGTGAGGTAGACAGAGGTTAAGTGACCTGCCCAAGGTCAAACAGGTAGTAAAGTGCCTAATGCTGGATTTGAATTCAGGTCTTCTTGAGTCCACTATCCACTAAACTACCTTTATCATCAGGTAGAAGTATTATTCTTCCCATTTGACAGATGAGGAGCCTATAGTTCAGCCATGTTAAGCAACTCAATGTTACAGGCAATTTGAATCCTAACTATTGTACTACAATGCATTCTGTAGAAAAATAATGCTCATTGTGTTAGCATTTAAAAAAAATGATTCTCAAGATAGATGGGCATGCTGGAAGTTTTATAACTACTCAGGAAGAGTTGATGGCTTGTGAAAAAAATGACTTCTATTTCATTGTAAGCTTTAATCTTTTGAGAACACTAATAGATTTGCTCTCCATATTTTTCTTGTTCCCTTGACACCTGTACAATAATAGAAAATAGGAAGGCATGCAGCATTTCCGCTTGCATTTAAAAGCTTTGTTGCCATTAAAAGCCTTGTTTCACTGACCAGATGCTGTATAAATCATGGGTAGTATAACCTCCTTTGATTCAATAATGCATTTTGAAGCTTTGCTTTAGAAGACAACCAGCTGGCTGTGTTAGACCTGAGGTCAAAAAGACCTCAAATTCATCCTCACTTATTGTGACCCTGAAAGAGTTGCTTTAACTTTGTTTGCATCAGTTTCTTCATCTGTAAATGTGGATAATAATAGCACCTACTTCCTATGCTTCTTATAAGGATAAAATAATATTTTAAAGCATTCTGTAAACTTTAAACTGCTATATAAATGCTAGCTATTAATTTTATTAAGACAAGATTAAATAGTATGTGGTTTCATAGAAAGGAGAGGGAAACATTTCAGAAATTGGGTAAGCTTCACATTTATCAAGAGAGTTCTTATCATGTCTAATATTTGGTGGACGTACAGAAAGGTATTATTGCTTTGAAGCAAGTGTGTTAGTGAGCACCCAATTGTATTGGCTGTATTGACTGATGGCTGTGAGTTCATTATCAATTTACAATGTGTTACATTCTTTATGGGACAACTAGGTAGTGCAGTAAATAGAGGACTAGGCTGGAAGTCAGGAAGAACTGAGTTCAAATCAGGCCTCAGACATTTATTAGCTGTGTGACCCTGGGTAAGTAACAACTCCTATTTGCCTGTTCTTCATCTGTAAAATGGGGACACACTGGAGAAGGAAATGGCAAACCAACCCAGTATCTTTGCCAAGAAAATCTCACGGACAAGTTGATGGGGTCACATTAAATGAACAACATTCTTTATATCATGCCTTAGGTTAGGTCAATTTACCTTTGATATGAAGGTGAAATCAAGGAGGTAACTGGAGGCCTACCAAACACTGTAGCTGTAGATTAGCTTTAAAACATCTGAGGGCAATACAATCCTCAGAAAATATTACTTCTGCAATCTGATATTGTAAACAGATGTGAACCATGAGAAAGATTTTAATATTAAATTGGGATTTTTTGGGCCAAGAAGTCTTTCAATGATAGGGTGTTATGATCTTTGAAACTGATATGATTCCATAGATGATATAGAACAGGTGAATATAATTTTAATTAATGAAAATTGCTAACTAGTACTTTTGAGATGGTAGCATGGTTCATGTAGAAAACTACTTAAATACATAGAGAATAGTACTTACATGGATCGCACTGTACAACCTATAAGCAAAGTAGGCAGGCTTGTCCTGGACACAGAGAACTATAGGATACAAAAGAGGAAATGCTTTGATATTTGTGAAAGATACTTGTATACATTTTGTTCCACATTTCTGATGAATGGATAATCAATTTATTAATAAAGGCCTGGGATAATTGAACCTGGTTATCATTACAGAGTACTGATGAGTGATATTCTTTGAAAATATATTTATATTACAAATTTTAAGCAAGCCTAGAGAAGTGGTCAAACTAAGACCCATTGAGAACACACACAAGAGTGAGAGTCAGCGCCCCTTGGCAATGTCCTCATTGAGTTTCTCTTCCAAAATTGCACTCAAAGTTACATATTATAGAATGGTTAAAGTTGGAAGGAAATTGAGATTCCTCCCGCATCCCACAGTTCTCTTCTCATCCCTAAAATAACCCTTATTTTAACTCTGAAGACTCTTTCAGCTCTACAAAGACAAGAATTGTGGCAATCAAAATGAAACTGAACAGACACAAGGGGTCACCACTGTCACAGAAATGAACTTAGAAATACACATGGCATTGCTCTTTGTGCATATTGATACTGCTGTCTTGCATTCCAGCCAGTTCTAGGCTTGTCCCACCTCAATCATTCCACCTAGCATAGTAAATAGAAAGTTAGCTGTGGAATCAGGAAGGCTACATTTAAAGGCTACATTTGACATATACTTGTGAGTTATCCTTACCAAATTATTTAAGCTCTTTGTGCCCCAGGCAACTGTCTAAGACTGTGAGTGGCAGAGAGAGTACAAATTCACATTGTTAGTGGGAATTATCTCAACCTGGAGATCCCCAAACCAATAAAATCACAAACCTAGTCCAAAAAAATTATACTTATAGTGGTATATATCTCTATATAGTAGTATATATAGTAGTATAAATATATCTCACAAGTTTTGTGTAAGGCTGAAATGAGATAATATATGTAAAGTACTATGCAAATGTCAGTAATTATTATTCTCAGGATATTTTAACTTTTTGGGCTACTGATGAACCGGCCATTCATGGAATTTCTCTGAGGACCTGGCCTGAACCTAGCGCTAGAAGTCATAGAACCAAAACTGTGTTGGGGTTTGATGGTGTGCTAGCCTAGAACACAAATACAGAAAATGTTTTATTGGATTTATTTTCAGAATACCTGGGGTTGAATACTGGCTCTGCCATGTTAATAGCTAGGTCAGTCATTCAGTTGCCACACATTTATTAAGTACTTACTTTGTGCTAGGCATGGGCTAAACACTAGGGATACAAGGAAAGGCAAAAACAAGACTTGTCCTCAAGCTGCTTACATTATAATGGAGGGAGGGAAAGGGGAAGGGAACAAGAACTCATTAAACAATTGACCAGGTATTGTTTTAAACATTTTGCAAATATTATCTTGTTTGAAACAACATGTAGTGGCAGCTAGGTGGTGCAGTGGAAAGAGCGCTGGCCCTGGAGTCAGGAGGACCTGAGTTCAAATCCGACCTCAGAAACTTGATACTTATTAACTGAGTAACCCTGGGCAAGTCATTGAACTCTGATTGTCTTGCCAAAAAAAAAAAAAAGAAAAAAAGAAAAGAAAAAAAGAAAAACAACAACAACATGTAAATCACTAGGTGTATAAAATATATAGACAGTAAATGGAAGGTAATTTGAAAGGGGCAGGTACTAGGAACTGGGAGAAATAACAAAGGTCTTCTGCAGAAGGAAACATTTGAAATGAGTTTTGAATGAATCCAGGAATTCTAAGAGGGGAAGGTGAGGAGGGATAGCATTCTGCACATGGAGGACAGTCAGTGCACAAACAGAGATGGGAGATGGAGTGTTGTGTAGGAGGAATGGTAAGTAGACCAATGACCTTGAAATTGACCAAAGTCACCAAACCTCTCTTGAGAACTCTGTTTCTTCATTAATAAAATGAGGACCTTGGATCAGATTATCTCTAAATTCTCTTCAGTCTCTAGAGCTCTGATTCTATGAATAGTCACAAACCAGTTATGTAGCAGATAATATGACCTAGATTTCAAGTTATAGGATAAACTACTCATATAGTTAAACCTCTCAGGCTATAGAAAGTACATTAGGCACAATCCAGAGCACTCAAAGTGCCATGTCTTCTTATTGCTATTGAATAATTGAATACTGGGAAAAAGGGAAAAAAAAGTATTGCGTTTCTGTTATTTTTTCCCTGAAGGGTCGGATTCAATAATGCTGTGGGACAATAAACTCTTTCTATTTCATCTTAATTACCTTTTGGACTACAGCTTCAGAGAGTAGGGAGGGCGAGAGAAAATTAAACTCTGTCAGACCAGGGTACATAAGATTAGAACAGTTTCAGTATTCTTTAAGATACACAGGTTTCTGGGTGTTGCATTGTAGTGTGTGTGTGTGTGTGTGTGTGTGTGTGTGTGTGTGTGCATGTACTTGTGCAAGTGTGCTGATGTAGGATGTATGTCACATAACACTTCAAGTATGGTGGCAAAATGAACATTTCCTTTCTCTTTTTTTTCCTCTTATAAGTGAAAATAACTAATTTTTAAGATAATCTGTTCTGATTTTTTTTTCAATGGCTATAGTAATAACTTGTATTTTGATAAAGCTTCTAATTCTTTCTCCTTCCTCACCTGGAAGTTGTGAATTCATTAGAGTGACAGACTTCCAGTGTGACAATTCCCTCCAATAATGCTGATTGTCCATTCATCTATAACTTATAGTTTTAAAGATTTGAATGGTGTTCTGAAAGTATAAGTGACTTGCCTTGGTAATACTACTTGTGTGTGTCAGAGATAAGACTTGAACCCAAGTTTTTCTGAATGCAAGGCTTACCCTCTGTTCATTCTACCACATTGTTTCTCATATGGAGTTTTATGTTTTACAACGTGCTTTTCTCTGGACAACTGTGTAAGGTAGTCATTGAAGGTATGATTATCCTCATTTTAGGATGAAGAAATGAGGCTCAGAGACTTCTTTAAGGTCATATAACTAGTAATTGTTAGAGCTGAGGCTTGAGCTTGGGTCTCTCTTGACACCAAATTTAGTGCTTGCTCTACTCTATCTCATGCTCAGAGGTATGTTGGTAAATATTTAACAACTGTATCTTCAGGAAAAAAAATGGACAATAGGATACACTTTTAAGTTTAATTTGTATTATTAATATTTTTTCTATCATTTTCTTAAGTCTAGACAATCAACAGAAAAGCAATTCAAGCCCCAATTTGTTGTATTTGTCAATTACTGAGATGAAACTGAAAACTTAGCAATCAGCTCTTGGGAGCCATTCCAAGCTGACATCAGCACACTTCTGTGTCATGCTGATTACATGATAATCACAATTTTATCCTCCAGGGACCTTCTTCCATTCTAAAAATCTAGTTGGGCTTCTGTCATCCAAGGGTTCTTTGAAACTGGGTCTAGAAATGTTTTCTTCTCTTCTAAGAAGCATTGTATAGAAGAAAAAGGATTGTACTTGGATTGTGGCCCTGAGTTCTTACTCCATTATCCATGCTATCTATCCAATTCTGTGATGCTGGGCAATGAACTAATGTTTTTAGCTGTAAAATGAGAGGCTTAGGCTCTACTAACTAACCTATGACTATGTCATTCTACAAAGTACATTTCACTAATTATGAATATTTAGTGAATAAATATTGTATATTTATTTGTACATTTTATTGATTCATTCATCAGATCAATATGTATTATATCTTCAATATACCTACTAATTGCATTTTGACAATCTTTCACAGTCATACTTCAAATTATGTGGGTATCTTGACCTTCCCACTGTAAATATGGGGCAATTCCCAAAGTAATACAAAGATGAATTAGGCCATTTTGTATTTTTAAATGCACGGCAGCTTTGCCACTCCCATATCTACTTTATTTTTGATCTATTTGAATGGGGTAGTTATGCTCACTGGGATATGGTAATGAACATTTCTCTTTCTCCAAGCAGGCTTTTTGGCACATGGCTAGGGACTGTTTGATGATTTTTTTCTGTTAGTTCCAGCAGAACTTCCCAGGAGAAAGACAAAGTTTTGAAGAGAGGAGCTGAAAGGAGATCTTAGCTTAGTTGGAGGAGGTCATATTAGAAGCATCTTTCTGCCCTTGAATTAATTAAATGAATATGAAAATAAGCTGAATAGAGTAGTGAGTATAATTACTCATGAGAGAAGTTTTGGTAGTTAATATTCATCCTCATAAAAGATGAACTAAGTGCAATAACTGTTTGAGGTCATGAAAACTAATTTTGTACATCTTTGTTACACAAAGCCACAAAATTTCAGAGTTGACTGAGACCTCAGTAGACATTTACACTAAGCATCAAAAAGCTAGAGCTGGGAGGGATTCCTGAGGTCATCTAATCCAAACACTTCACTTTGCAAATGGAAACTGTGGTCCACAGTGGTGAATAATATATCTAATATCACCCAAGTAGTGATCAGTAGAGCTGGAATTTGAACTCAGTTCCCATGGCTCCAAGTTCAGTTCTCCATGTTCAGTCTTCTCAAACTTGTACATGGATAGGTATCCCCTCTACAATGTCTTGGATGAATAGTCAAATATCTCTGCTTGAAGTCCTCTACCAAAGGGGAACTTCTTGAAGGAGTTTACTCTAATTTGGGACAGCCCTAATTATTAGCAAATTACTGTTTATATAGGGTAGAAAACTGCCTCTCTGTATCTTTCTCTCATTGTTCCAAGTTCTGCCTTCTGAGGGCAGGCAGAAAAAATTAATACTTCTTCCCCATTATAAATATGAAGGTACAAGCATGTGGGTTAAACAAAATGGACAAAAAAACCCTTCCTATTCTGAAAGTCTATGATAATTGCATCTCTTCAAATGGTTAATGTGGTTGTGCTCCTTAAAATCAAGGTTCCTTTAGAAAACCAGATGTATTCCCTTTTATAATATACATGTGCACAATTTATTTTAATCAGAAAAAATTTGTTTCATGGGGTTTTTGAAAGTTCTATCCTATACCTAATGATTTTCCACTTACCTATTGCCACGAGTAACTCCCGAAAGTATCCATCATAGCATTCATTAATGGCATCTACCATGTCTTGTCCAGAAATATTTTGAAATTCCTGAAAAACTTCAAAAAATTTGTATAACTTACATATAACTTTGAAAAGACTAAGCATATCAAAATTAATATTGGTGGAATAAATTTTGGTGATATATATTTTCCCTAAAAGAATTAATTATTCATATTAGTACTACATAATATATTATTAATATATAATATTAATTAAATATTTAAAATATTTAATATTTACACTGATCCATATTCTCATTATGGATGGGTATTCCCTTCATTGTTTTAGATACCAATCCTCTGTGCCCTGTTAACTCTTAGTTGCATTCTCCCATGGATCCTCAACAGTGAATTTATCTTTTGTGCTAGAGACATTGTTCTAGGTATTTTTACTTTTTGTGTGTACCGCCAGAGAAAGTACTGGAGCTGTCCATCTGCTATCCCTCATTCTTGCCACATACTTGCAATTGTGCTACTGTCTATTTGTGCTCACTGCATATACAGCCTTTACTGAAGAACACCACTGGCATTCCCTCCTGAAGCAGCCCTTTTCATTTTTGGACAGCCACAATGATAAGGAAGATGAGTCAACTAATATTCTAAGATTAAGATATTCTAAGATTAAGAATCATATAGCTTCATTCATTTGAGTCAATTTTTTAAAAAAAGATGAGTTTTTGTGTCAGGGAGTCTCTTGGAATCATTAAAAGTACAGTAAAATTTCAAATATAATCCTGTTAGCTAGAAATAGTTAACTAGAAATAGTATTTCTCCTATTTATTTCTGAGTTCGTATCACTATTCATTTGCAGTGCCTTTTGAGACATATGCACTGATATAAAAACTCAGTGTCCTGCCCATCAATCTATATGTCATAGTCTTGACAATAGGTATTTTTCATAATTTGATTTATTCTTGCATTGTTAGATCTGCTGCTTTTCAGTGATTATCATTAACTAATCTCTAATATTCTAGACCTTGATGCTAACAGCGCAACATAATCTATACATGGAAGCACCTCACACACGTACAGAATTCCTTTCCTATTTGGACCTTGTTTGGACATTCTGCTCAAGAATGGAGAATACATATGAAAAGCATGCTGTATGTCTCACTTGGCAATAATAACCAGAGGAATATTGAAAAATAGCCTTTTAAAAAAAAATCTTAGTTTCCCTTAACATATCCATGAGATACATCTTGGGGAAAGCTTACTAAGGTTGTATTTTGCTTTACTGAATCATTTTCTTATTATTAGGAAATATCTAATGTAGCAGGATTCTCTAGTTTCTAGTCAATTGCATGACTATAAAAATATGATTTACTATAGAAAATAATTTGTCAAAATGTGCGTATTTCATATTTTCATCAAGCGTACCCTTAATATATGTATCAATGATTCTGATAAAGGTCTTTTTTAAATGAGAAAGTAGACTTATAGGTATTTATTGATCTTCTGACATTTTGGGATAGTAATATCTTCCATGATTTTCCTCCATTCTTTTGATATCTTCCCCTTCCTGAGATAGTTTGTAAAGTGATTCCTTGGTCCTTTCAATATTGTGTCCCTTTCAACACAAATTTCCTCTGTCTATATTTGGTCTGGTCCATCCAATCTTCTCAATGTCATCCTCTTCAATACCATTTCTATATTTTCATATATCATATGGTAGGGTCGAGTGGCTCACATGTTATAGTCACAATGTGGTAGTTTTGTCATTACTGATTATAAACTAGAAATGTGGACACTTATTCTATTTTCTAATATTCGGCCTATTGTTTTCATCTATGAATATTCTTTTTTATGAATATTCTTAAGACTCATTTCAAGTATTCTGCAGAATTTTCACTTCCCTTGTTTTTTACCATTCTATGAGGCAAAACTTCTAATTTGCCACCTTAATGTTTTGCAAATGTTTTATTTTAAATTGGCACTTCCTTTACCTGATATGCATCTCTATTCAGTGAGGAGATCAAGTGCTTATCATTGAAACAGCTTCTGGGCTCTTTTGACCTAGCTATGATGGTGAGTGCTTTTTACTGGCTAAACTTTTATAGAAAGTGGTGATTATCAAGGTCAATATATTCACCTTTTCCAATTTCACATTTTAAGGACATGGAAAGCTTGTTTGAACATGGACTCTTAAATTTTTCCTTATTGTATACAATATCTCCTTGCTGTTATCCTTTCTTTTAATTCCACACTGGTTTTGGCCTTAACTAGTAAATGACCTAATTGTATATGTATAGTTAATTATATTATGACTTCCAAATCAGTAATCTATCATTTTCTATCTGTCAAGATAGAGTAAATTTCAATTTTGGGGATGACCTTTTTATATTCAGTATAATTAGAACCTTCCAATTCTCTTTGGGAAGATAGTATTCATAATAGAGTGGTGTGGAGGTGATCCTGACTTCTCAAAGACTATGCCTAGGGGAAGGGGTGAAAAACAAAACAAAACTCTGGCATAATCTAACACCTAAGAAGATATTTGGCATGGGCCAGGTGATTGTCTACATGTCTTGTCTCTGAGGACTATCCTAGCTTTGTATAAAATGAGGTTCTTCAACAGAAGGATGACCACCAGGTCATGAAAATTTTGGGACAACAAAATTCATTAAAATCATCCATGAAGCCTTGGGAAATTTCACTCTGTATTGGTAGAGGGAATGTACAGATTGATCAAGCCATAAGTCTTTTAAAATATAAGAATAGAGAATGGACGTGAGATTTCATTGGTATAGTGAACTCTCATATGAGGAAACTCCCTCTACCAATATAGGCCAGCAACTTCTCTGCAAACTGAAGTCTTAGTTGCTCAAAACACTGAGAAGTTAAATGATTTGCCTAGGGTCACACAGTCAGTATGTGTCAGCAGTGAGCCTTGAACACAGATCTCCTGCTTTTAAGGCTACATCTCTATACACTATTCCAAGCTGCCTTTCATTCGAAGTATATCCTTTTTTAAAAAGGCAAGATGAGTCTTTAATGGATTGTTTAAAAATTCCAACCAGAAATAATTAAGCTTTTAAACAAAAAAATTTTTTAGTGCTTTTATCAATCAATCAGTGCAATCTAATCAATAAATATTTATTAAGTGTGTCTACTATGTGTCAGGAACTGTGCTAGGCACTGTATGCATTTCTAGGAGTTGAACTATAGAGTTTAGCTTTAGTTATGTGAAACATTCACTGACATGAAACAACTCCCCTGCTGCAGCAGAAAAAATTAGACTTGCTACACATACTTAAATTACAATGATTTGTTGCCTTAGGGTTAAGTGATGACTATCCTTTCTCTGCTTTCAGTTCATTTTTTTTTCTGTCTTTTCAATTAGCTACTTGTCTTTTATTACACATTTAGATAAGGAGGAAGAAAGAAAAATGATTAATAATTACCCATCCACAATTGCTGATAGCTCTTGTTACAGAGGATCATTTGTAGCATAGTTTTATGCTCTCCTGTCTTTTGTTGACAAGCTTCCCATAGAACCTGGAACATTATGAGACCAGGAAGGGTCATCAGAACAATCCCATACCACAAGGAGAAATATCCCCAAAGAAAAAGCTGGTTTGGAATTTTGGCTTTTTGATTGCTTGACTAGACTTACCATTGCATCCTGGGCTGCCATAGCAGGATTGGTGTAACCTTCCTCTCTAGTTCCCTGCAAAGAGAAACATAATGGTTGTTTCTTTTGTCATTGTTCTAACTATACTTGCCATAAATTAAATGTTTGGAGTAGCTCTCATGAGTATTTATGGGATTTTTGAAATATTAGAACCACTGGTAATTCCCAAGAATACTCCCCCAGGATTATGACAAACTAATGTCTTTAAACCACAGATCTGATCATGTTCCTTACTTGTTCAAGAAGTTTCAGAGGCTCCCTACTGTCTCTATGATAAAATGCCAATTTCTCAGTTTGGCCTTTAAAGACCTTCACAATCTGAGTCAATCTATCTTTCTAAGCTGATTAAATATTGCTGTCTCCTGTATTCTCTATGTTCTAGCCAAACTAGATTTCTGGAAGTTCCCCATAGACAGCAATACATTTCCCACCTTTGCACATTCCATGCCTGGAATCTTCTTATTCCTCATTCCCATCTCTTGGAACTTTTAGGTCATGCTAATGCTCAGCTCAAGTGCCAACTTTCCTGATTTTCCCAGTTGCTAGTGTTCTCCTTTCCATCCCCCTCCAACTATCTATTATTTATTTTGAATATATTTTATGTTGATTTATCTATATTTGTATTATTCCTTTACTTCTGCCTCAGCTTTTTTAAGAGCAGCTACTATTTTGTTTTCATTTTTAGAACCAGAACCTAGCATAGTGTCTGACATATAGATGCTAGAAAAATGCTTCTTGCTGAATTGAATCATCTCTGCTTGTGGAAGTCAAGGGAAAAGAATATGTATATCCAATGCTTTGTGAGTGTCAAATGCTACCAAAAGCTCTATGAGAATGAGGACTGAGAAAAAATCATTGGATTAAATATTAAGAGGTGGTAGTTATAATAAAAGGGTGGATTTTGAGGCCAGAATGAAATGGCTTGACAAGTAAGTGGGTTATGACAAAGTAGAGACAATGAGTTATTTCTGGAATTAAGAATTTAATAGGGAAGAGGCTGGGGTAAGGTAGAGGATAATAGCTTAAGGTACTGGCAGGACCAAGGGGTGGTTTTTCAAGGAAAGAGGGGAGCTGAACATATTTATTGTTATTCATCCTTCCTTCTCAAAGTGAACCAATGATATCATAAGGTTTGAAGTTTTGACTTGCCTGTGAATTGGATTTAAGTGAGGTAGAACCTGCCTAAAGTCATCAGCCTCACTCTCTCCTCCAGAGTCATCATAGTTTAGTGGCAAGACAAAAGTCAAGATGACTGGTGATGGCCTAGGATGCAGTGGGTGACCTTGTCTTTTCTAAATTAAGGTCTTTCCCAGGCCTCAATTTGTCTGAGGCAACACTCATTCAATGACTAAGGGTTAAATAAGAATTGAGGGGGGCAGCTACATGGTGCACTGGATAGAGCTCCAGCTTTGAAGTCAGGAGGACCTGAGTTCAAATCCGGTCTCAGACATATGTACTAGCTGTGTGACCTTGGGCAAGTCACTTAACCCCAATTGCCTATCAAAAGCAAAAATAATTAAGTAAATAAATAAATAAGAATTGAGACAAAAGATGGCCTAATTTACCATCACAAAAATATCAGTCTGAAAATGGAAAACCCTCACAGTTTCTGGCCAGAACATGAAACAATTGCTATTTATACTCATTAAAATTTAAAAAAATGAGCCACAGAGGCTTGGGCTGGGGGCTATTATTGGCTATTCTATAAAAGCCAGAGTGATTTGGGTTTGAAGGCCTAGTCAAGTAGGTCCATTCAAAACACAATGGGCTTTTTAAAAGCCTGTTTTTTTTTTTCTAGAGCTATATTTAAAGAAATACAGGAAAACTGTGCAGGACAAAAAATAAATGATTCCAGCTTTAAAAAAAAAATAATAAAACTAACTAAATAAAAATAAATAATTAATTGAAATTAAAAAAAAAATCTAGCCCCCAAATTCCTATGGACAGAGCACACACTTATAAGGATATGGCACCCCAAGTGGAGAGAGGGACCACAAGTGATGAAGGAAGCAGCAGCAGCAGAAGAAGAAGAAATAGAAGTATTCTCCAACTTTTGCTTGAATTGATAGGTTAGATTCCCAGAGGGCAGCTATAATTACTCTCAGGGTTCTAGAGATAACTCTCAGAGACTGCGCTTCTCCTACTACAGGTCTTGAGTGCCCAATGTAGTAGTCCCCATTTACAGTCATCTAATAGTCTCAAATTTATATGTGCCAGGAAAAGATATAGGAAAGAGAGATTGAGGGTAGAGAGGAGAATGATTGATGGAGAAAGCTCCTTAAGGAGATAGGAGGGGATGGAATCAAGGGCACAAGTAGAGGAATTTATTTTGGCATTTATTATATGTGCAGAGCACTGTGCTAGCCACTAGGAGGGACATAAAACATAGGTAAGAAACAGTACCTGTATCTTAAAGGTTGAAAGTGTGGAAAATGCATTCATATTTTTTTTAACATGTGTTTTTAAAACTTTGGGTTACAAATTTTCTCCCTTCCTCCCTCCCCTCCCACCCGCATTGAAAAGGCAAGCATCTTGGTACAGGTTATAAATGTGTAGTCATGCAAAACACTTCCTTGGTAGTCATGTTGTGAAAAACTAAGTATATTTCCCTTCATCCTCTCCTATCCCCCCATTTATTCTATTCTCTCTTTTGACCCTTTCCCTCCTTAGAAGTGTTTGCTTTTGATTATCCCCTCCCCCAATCTGCCCTCCCCTCTATCAATCCCCTGTTCTCTTGTCCCCTTCTCCCCTTATTTTCCTGTAGGGTAAAATAGATTTCCATACCCCATTGTGTATGTTATTCCCTCCTTAAGCCAAATCCTATGAGAATAAGATCCACTCATTCCCTCTCACCTTCCTCCATCTCCCTTCCACTGTAAAAGCCTTTTCTTGTCTGTTTCATGAGAGATAATTTACCCCATTCTACTTCTCCCTTTCTCCCTCTCCCAGTATAATCCTCTCTCACCCCTTAATTTTATTTTCCAGATATCACCCCTTCATCTTCAACTCACCCTGTGCCCTCTATCTATCTATCTATCTATCTATCTATCTATCTATCTATCTATCTATCTATCTATCTATCTATACATACATATAATTTTTCCTACCCACTACCCTAATACTGACAAAGGACTCACAAGTTACGAATATCATCTTTCCCTGCAGAAATGTAAACAGTTCAACCTTAATAAGTCTCTTATGATTTCTCTTTCCTGTTTACCTCTTCCATGTTTCACTTGAGTCTTGTATTTGAAAGTCAAATTTTATATTCAGCTCTGGTCTTTTCCTCAGGAATGCTTGAAAGCCTCCTATTTCATTGAATGACCATTTTTTGCTCAGAAGGATGATACTCAGTTTGGCTGGGTAGGTGATTCTTGGTTGTAGTCCTATCTCCTCCAGAATATCACACTCCATGTTCTCTGGACCCTTAATGTAGAAACTGCTAAATCTTGTGTTATCCTGATTGTGTTTCCACAATACTTGAATTATTTCTTTCTGGTTGCTTGCAATATTTTCTCTTTGACCTGGGAATTCTGGAATTTGGCTACAATATTCCTAGGAGTTTTCTTTTGGGAATCTCTTTCTAGAGGTGATCAGTGGATTCTTTCGATTTCTATTTTGCCCTCTGGTTCTAAAATATCAGGGCAGTTTTCCTGATAATTTCTTGAAAGATGATGTCTAGATTCTTTTTCTGATCATGGCTTTCAGATAGTCCAATAATTTTTAAGTTCTCTCTCCTGGATCTATTTTCCAGGTCAGTTGTTTTTCCAGTGAGATATTTCACATTTTCTTCTATTTTTTCATTCTTTTGGATTAGTGTTACAGTGACTTGATTTCTCAAATTGTCACTAGCTTCCAATTTCTCCATTCTAATTTTTAAGGAAGTATTTTCTTCAGTAAGCTTTTGGACTTCCTTTTCCATTTGGCCAACTTTGCTTTTTAGGGCATTCTTCTCCTCATTGGCTTTTTGGACCTCATTTGCCATTTGGGTAAGCCTATTTTTTTAAGGTGTTATTTTCTTCAGTATTTTTTTGGGTCTCCTTTAGCATCACTCTCAGTTTTTCCTCTACTACTCTTACTTGCTTCTCAAAATCCTTTTTGAGTTCTTCCATGACCTGGGACCAATTCATATTTTTCTTGGAGTCTTTAGATGTAGGAACTTTGACTTCATAGTCTTCTTCTGGTTGTATGTTTTGATCTTCTTTGTCATCAAAGTAAGATAATATAGTCTGACTCTTTTTGTGCTGCTTGCTCATGATCCTGGCCAATTACTTGAGTTATAAACTTTTTGTTAAGGTAGGGGTCTGTTTCCAGTGTGGAGAATGTACTGTCCCAAGCTTCAGGGGTTTTGTGCAGCTGTTTTCAGAGATACTTCTAGGGACCTGTAAATTTTCAGTTCTTCCAAGGTGGTATGATCAAGGGCAAGGTGTTTACTCCTTTCCTGGCCTGTGCTCTGGTCTACGAGTGACCACAAGCACTCTTTTCTGTCTTGGAACTGTGAGAATTTCCTCTCCACAGCCACTACAAGCTCCACCATGCCAGTGCTCCTCCTTGCCCCAGTACCACCACCCAGAACTGTGACCCAGATCCAAGCACGGGCAAAGCAAGAGAATCCTGCATCAGCAGAAAGATCCTTGCAATCACCTTCTGATCAGCCACTTGAATCCCCCTCAGTCTGTGGGCCAGAAGCTCAGGAGGAGCCACTGCCCCGGGGCCAAACTCAGGGAATGGGGCTGGAACCTCACCATACTTCTCTCTCACCACTGCAGAAACAGACTTTTCCCACTGACCTTCTAAGTTGTCTTTGGCGTTCATGGGTTGAGAAGTCTGGAAACCACTACAACTGCCCGTGATTCAGTCCTCTGAGGCCTGCTCCCAGTTTGCTGTGGCCTGTGCGCCCATGCCGAACTGTGCTCCTCTCCCCTCTTGGTGTGATATACCTTTCTGATCAACCATCCAGGCTGTCTTTGACTGGAAATTTGTTTCACTCTGTCTTTTTCTGGGTTCTGCTGCTTTAGAATTTGTTTAGAGCTATT